GTCTAGAAGAAACTGCAGCGATTTGCAGAGTTTCAGAACAAATTCGAGTGACTTAAAGGAAGACGCTCACAGGCACAAACAGTGTTCCCTACATCTAACGTCAGACTTTTCTTAGTTTTTTGCCAGATTTTGCTCCAAAAAAATCGAAGTAACATAAGAAATGCAGCCGAAAACAATTAGGATGCAGCATAAGTACGATACGTTGCTGAATATCTAGAAGTTTATGTTGAATTTTTATGGTTGCGAGAAGTAGTGAAGCAGCTTTGATCGACTGGGCCGTGAAAGTTTACATGACTTGAACTTTACTAATAATTAAATGTGTGACTAGAGCTGACAGTTTTCATGGTAATGCATTTTGTCGCCTCCAAGCAAGAAAGTTCTGGGTTTAAACCTGCAGTCTGCTCGCTCTCCTTGTGCCTGAGTGGGTTTCCTGTTCTCCACACTCCACCGACATGCACAGCAGGTTAATTGGTGATTCCTAATTGGGCGTAGGTGTGAGCGGTTGTCTGCGGTGGACCTGTCCAGTGTGCTCAGGCTCAGGTTGGACGGACCGCATCCGTCCTGCAGCACTCTGCAGGCAGGAGCAATCTAACGATCTTAAACCGGTCTGAGCTGACCTTGCGTTTACAGGAAGACGCCACGCTAAGTCGAGTGGTGCTGAGCCGTTTTCAACTGCAGCCAGAGCTGTGATGGTGTAATCCAAACACCGGGCAGCGTGCGGGGCTGAGCGTGGTGGGGGAGTTCGGAGGTGCTGAAACGGGCTCAAGTCGACCCGGCTGCCCGTTGTGTCTGCTGCACGCTGCAGTGCTGCTAACAGACAGAACACATACGAGGCGTTCATGTGATAACGGGTTGGAATCGACTCTATCTTTGCAGTAGGAAACACAATCCCCGTCTCGGTGCAGCGAAGCCACCGTCCACCCTGCCCCGCTGCGAGGACACACTCGTGTTTGTTTGCCTCCCTGATTGAGTGATTACATGTTTATGTGCACATGTGCGTGCATCTGCCAGTGCGCTGCGTTGGCGTTGCATCTCCCACCCAACCGTCCAAATTTCCCGGCAGCCAGGCAGTCTGCCGGTGGCTCCCCGCTGGTAGCTGCTCCACAGCACGCTGGATCTGGTGGGTGGAATCCCCTCCTGGAGCTCCTCTGATGCTGCAGGCAGATGTCTCCCCCCATCTCCCCTCGTCTCCCCTCGTCTCCCCCACTCACCTGGGGAATGATGCCAGGCAGCGAGCCTCGCTCCCACCCCGCTTTCCTTCCCGCCCCGGAGGCCCCTCGGCGTTGCCAAACAGGGAGCGAGGACGCGAGTGGAGGCGTCGACATGTGCCAACACCAGCCTAAGCTCCGCATGTATACAACACACACGCCCAATTAAAGTGCAGAGATACCATTCACATGCAGCCGCTGCCGACATCCATAGGAGCTGTAGTCAAAGCGAATACGCCGCCATGCCTGTTGGAAGACTGTAATCCGCTGCTGACTCACACATGTGCGTGCAGAACGCCACACACAGTCCTCACGCCGCCGCCGCTGCCCCTTCACAACAGCGGCCTCCACGGCTGCCAGTTTGGCTCCGTTCGGCTGACTGGACGGCTCCATGAGTGCTAAGTGTCTCTGTACCATTAAGTGGCAGCCGGCCCTTCTCCGCCGCCCCGCATGAGTGCTCTTTGTCAGCACCTTCTGGTGGGAGCGCTTGTCGAACCTCACATTTCTTGTTGAAGATGAGGAAGAGGGGTGAGGAAGGTGCCGGTGGAAGTGGGAGGCATGAGTGAGCGAGAGGCAGCGAAACGCCACAAGTAGAAGCCACTCAGCTGCACCCGTCTCCGAGTTCAACCTGAATGGATGCACCTATGAGCGGCTACCATTAGAAGCGCTACCGGGTTTTTCAGAACACCGGGTTTGCTTACTGGCAGGCTGGAGCAGCAACATGCATCGAGTGATTAAGCCTTCCAAAAAAAAAGAAAAAAAAAAAATACACCATAATTATACATAAGTACTAATCGCCCAAATTCCTCTGGATGGAAATAATACTGCAGAGATTCTTTCATTAGCAGCAGCGTTTTCTTTTTCTCTTTTGCGTTAAGTGAAAAAGCAAAAGAAGAAGAAGAAGCCGCAGAAAGTGTTTTTGTGGGTTATATTTAAACTGTCAAACTTAACACCTGATGTCAGCTGAGAGTCAGAGCGGAAGAGGAGGAAGAAGAAGAAGAAGACGAGAGCGAGGAGAGAGGACGGTTAGTTATAAATAGCAGTAGTCTCTCCAGGACGGCAGGTTTTTAATTAACAATAGAGTGTCTGATAATCCACAGTTAATCCAGAGGAGAAGAGGGAGGAGAGGAGAGAAGAAGAGAAAATCATCAGCTGTTTGATGTTAGGACTACAAGTCCCTCCTGGCCCTTCCACTGCCTGCTGCTGAGCCGTTCAGCGCTCTGATATCCATAGCCCAAATGTATTTATTTTGTGAAACAGCCATGCTCCATATTTTGTGATTCACTTTGTCTCTGACTAACCGCTGTCTGTTCCCATTAGCGTGAATATGCGTGCGCGCCGCACTTCTTAAACCCGACTGCGGCTCTTTGTGCTGGTGTGTGGTGTTAGCGGATCGGGGCTGTTTGTAGAGGAGCTAGCCGACTGAAGGCCCTGATGGCTGGAGGCGTCCGCTTAAAGTCCTAAGCCTGTTGAAAGGCTTGATCTGTTGGGGAAACACTGGGAGATGTCAGGCCTGCTTCGCTCTCAAAGGGAGTCTGCTATCTAAGACACTTTGAGCTCGGAGGGAAGTGGGGGTGGGAGTTTTCCTCCGTTTTTCGCACAGCTGTGGAGACAGTAATAAACATGTTGTTGGTAGCTGCTGTGAATATCGCCGTCATTAAACTATTACGTCGGATTTATTCACAAGTTGAGACGCTTCAGTGGCTTCAAGGTCCCACATCACCAATACAGCAAAGAATAAAACAACGTCGGGGTTCAACGACATAAAATCTGTTTGAGTCGTGACGACTTCTGGTGAAATGTTCAACCTAAAAACTGCACTGAGTTAAATTAGCTTTTCCTCTGCAATCAAACAACTGAATTAATGATTAGTAGCATAAACGCACGTTTTTAAGTTGATTAATCATAAAAAATAATTAGTTACGAGTATTTCTGCTGTATTTGCAAGGAATTTGTAAATGTTTGCTTTTGAAGTTGGCAAATTTTCAAAATAAAAGCTGTTAAGTAAATTAGAAAGTGAAGAAAAATGAATTAAGTTACCTCGACTCAAATTTAGCTGAAAATCAACGAATGCAGAAATTTGAAATAACAGTTTGCATCAACTTTATGAAATTATGTTGAACCAACGAGCTAAAGTGAGTTCAGGGAATTATCTAAGTTATCTTTAATTAGCGGTCTGAAATTGTCGAGGTATTAATATAAAGAAAGGGACTTAAAATCCTGCCTTCAGGATGAAGAAACATGTTGTTATTAAGCTAATTTGATTAAGTCACCACAATTTATATTTAGTCAGAAATCAACGAATGCAGAAATTTGAAATAACAGTTTTCATCAACTTTATGAAATTATGTTGAACCAACGAGCTAAACTGAGTTCAGGGAATTAGCTAAGTTATCTTTAATTAGCAGTCTGAAGTTATTAATATAAATATACACTTTTATTGTCATCACACACAAAGTACAATGAAATTAAAACTTCAAGACAGAGAAAAATGTCGTTATTAAGCCAATTTATTTAAGTTACCTCAACTTAAATTTAGCTATAAATCAATGAATGCAGAAATTTAAGTATAAACAACACAAAAAATTAAGTTGACGTAATTACAACACAACCCATCAGAAATAACTTGCAATTGAAATAGTTTATGAAAATCTGTAAATGAGGGTTTTGTTTTCTTGCTACTTTTCATTATTTAGGTGGTGAAAATAAACACTTTAAATTATTTTTAATACAGAAGCTGAGATTTAAGCACCAACAAAGTACTTGTTCCGTACTTTGGTCCAAACTGGATTTACAGTTTTTTATATATTTTTTAAAATATTTTACTCAACAGTAACCATTTGGTCCAAAAAGGTGACTCAACTGATAATAATCCCAAAAATATCTTTATATTTACCTCAACCTGTCTGCAAGGACAAACTATATGGCTTTCCCCCTTTTTTTAAAAAATTAAAATTACACGTAATTTTAAGTGTGTGCGTCAACACAACCCATCAGAATAATGTTAACAACTGAAAGTGTTTATCTAGACACCATGCATTTATTTAAGTTGTAGGAATCAGACTTTTGAGCTACTTGTTAGAGTCCAGACACATCCCCCATCAAGTTAGATTATTATTATGACTTAAATACCAAGTTAAGATGTTTTCTTTTTGTATTTTGTCTACACTAATGGTCCAGAACTGCCTCCAAAGCTTCCATTCGTTCATATTTTGATGCATCGGCTGAGTGCAGAAGGAGACTCACGGTCGCTGTGAGGAGACCTGGAAAGAGGCCGTCTCATCCGTCACATGTTTTAAAGCACAAATCTGAACAGTCGTGGCAACGAAGCCGGCTTCACGTGACACATGGTTGACAAAAGTCGCACCGAGTGTCGTGACGCTGCGGGCTGGAGTCACTGCGATCGCGTCAGCAGTGATGAAGATATGTTGGAAAGGATTTTCCAGAGGAGGACGTATGTCGTCCAAGGCGGGGGAGGAGGTGTCGTGGATGTACGTCTGTATTTCAGTTTTCAGCTCATGATGGTCGAGGAAGCCTCAGACTATGGATGAGTTCAAAAACACGGCACAAAATCGCAGAGAGCGGAGGTATTATTCGTAGTGAAACACGGCGCTATGACAGATTTAATCCCACCACGTGTAAACCCTCCTCCTCTCATAACGAGGCGTCTCTCTGTGTGCACGCCAGCAGCAGGGTGATGATGTTTCCTTGTTTGCAGTGAGAGCAAAAACGAAATGAATGAACTTAACATTTCTAAAGTTTCTCTGTCTTTCTGTCTTTGTGGCATTTCAGGACAGAGTCTGGGCTACGGCTTCGTCAACTACATCGATCCAAAGGATGCAGAGAAAGCCATCAACACGTTAAATGGACTCAGACTTCAGACCAAAACAATCAAGGTAAGCGACGCCATCGACTGACACAAGGAAGGGATGTAAAACTCAATCTCCAAAAAGTTGTGGAGGTCACGTTAAACTTAAAATCACGAGGCTGCTTTCTTCTTCTTCTTCTCTCGGAGCCCTTTTCAGATTAGTGGATGTGCTGCAGGGCGAGATGGGATTAACATGCATGAGCCTGGGAAATAAAAAGACCATCTAAATCAAAGAGACACATTCAAAAGCTCGCCACTATGGCTGGTATGCTAATTACCTTCCAAATGTCAGAATGTAAAGGTGAAATTATATAGATATCTGCGAGTGAAAGGGAAGAAACGCGTCAATCATCACGTTTTCCTAAATAATTGAGGGCTCCGTTATTGGCTTTTAAATGGCATGACTAATGCGCCGGCTCGCTGTCACAGAGCTAAGGTAGATAAATGGCTGCCAGCCGCCGCGCCGTCCTTCCTCCAAACACGCTCTGAAGGCTAAAAAGCCTCGCGAGTGCCGTTCCTGCAGATGTTTTTACAAAAACATATCAATCTTCCCGCCGATCTCGTTTGCTCGCCGCGTCCTCGCCGCTCTCCGCTGATGCCTCGCTGCCTTTAAGCCGGGCAGTAATCTGTTGCTCCGTGGTAATCCCTGGATTCTCGCTTTCTGTCATCTGATCTAATCTGATCTAATCTAGTCTAATCTAACTAATCTAATGGGATGGGATTAGCCCGTGTGTGAATGGGGGACTCCCGTAGAGAATCCCTCGACAGCCGCCCGGCTCGTCTGGTCTGAACATGAGGCCTGATGTGTGGTTCCTGTGCAGGCGTGTTCTCTGCATGTGTTGCATTAGAGCTTCGTTTGTGTTGCTTCGTTAGCGATGGAGGGTCCACGTCCGTCCGACCTGCAGCTTCAGAGCAGCAGGACTCTCACTGAGCGAAGACGAACCCAGAACGACGGAGCGTCCTCACATGTGTCTGCTCTTCATTCATTAAACTTCCCAAATGCTGCTCAGTGCGCCGCAAACAGCTTCCTGACACTCTCATATTTTACTGCCTCATTGGAGAACCTGTTATTTCTCTCCACGTCGACTCCGTTTCTTTTTTTTTTCCTCCTCCATGCCGAGCTTTGATCTCTAATAGCCATTTTTCAAAGCAATCCCAGCAATACCCTCCGCATCTCAGCAGCAATAAATAATGGAATATTAATTAACTAAGAGAGCCTTTTAAAAATTAAGGCATGTAAATGCCATCTTGTGGCCGCGATATCCAAGAGGAGCGAAGAAATCAAGAGGAGCGATTTGCCGGCATTAAGAATACAACACCTTTGTATCGGCGGTAGTTTAGCAGCGTTTGATATTAATAACGACGGAGCTGCTTTTCTGAATTGAAATGCACACGAGCGACGCCGCGTGCAGCAGCAGCAGCAGCAGCCGACGCCGAAGCGAAAACAGGTTGAAGGTTGTTTACATAGTGTGAAATTTATAAGGTCTTTATTGAGTGAAGCAGACTGAGTTCACAGATTTTCACTCTCACACTCTCATGACACAAGAGGTTGCCTCGAGTCGTTCCTGAGATAAAGGCGCTCTCCGTAATGACACAAGACAACTCCGCATCTCTGTCTGGCGCTATCGCTCTTTCACACTTCATTTCCTCCCTCCCACTATCCTCTTTCCGTGCTTTCTCGCTCCACAACAGACCGAAAACCCTAAAGGTAACAAGGTAAATTAAAAGGCTGCGCGGTAATTCTAAAATTAAGTTTGTCGCTCTTTCATGTCACACCCTTCCCACTCTCTGCCACTGCACTTGTGAGGGAAACGCTTGGCCCAGAGATTCACATGCTCTGGGGCGATGCGTCTCTCTGAAGTGTCTTTGAGTTGGTTTCGCTGCTGCGGTTTTTTCCCTCCACCATGACACCTCAGATTGTGTCAGCGGTGGCGGCGCTGTAGAGGTGTGAGGGGAAGCAGCGTGCCAAAGGTGAGAGCAGCTCACAGTGACACGCATGCACATAATCTGAGACACATTTATACGCTGTGTGCTTGTGATCGCTTTAATCTTCACACTTACAGTTTTTCCAACTTCGCCGCACACATGCACACGGCGGCGGCGGCTTCGGCGGCACCGCGCTCGTACACAATGCTGCTCACAGCTTGAGGAGGTGTTGATGGATTAGACATCTGGAGTTGGCTGACAAGGAGAGAAAATGAGGGAGAGCTGCACGGAGGAGAAAAGAGGCAGACTCTGGAAGAGAGAGGAAGGTTTAGTGAGGCGGCGTTTGCAGGAAGGAAGCAAAACATCCAGGCGGAGAGGAGGAAGAGGAAGACGGAGGAGCCGAGCAGAGCGGCTAAAGGAGGAAGATGTGTGAAAAGAGAAAGTGCGACGCGGGGAAAGCCAGCTGTTCCCCATCCCGCTCGCTCGCTGCTCGGGTTCAGCAGGATTTCCATGCTGTTGCTCAAGGATATGACTGCGTAGCCGCCATATTTGCCTGACTTTAACCTTATTTGATGACTTATGTCTCCACATGTCAGATGTAATGAAAGCACTGCGAGGGAAAGCTGTTCCAGTCGGCAGCAGTAGTAATGGGATTTACACAAGTTTCACTGCAGCAAAAAAAAAACTCCAGGTCTACAAATGGAGATGTTGAGGAGGTTGGCTGGTGGAGAATCAGTGTGAAACTGCCTCGAACGTCAAATTAAAGAAAAAAAACGACATATCAGCTCACATCCTATTAATTAATTCATGTTTTCACTCATCAGGATCACAGAGCGACTGTTCAGACACCTGAGGTTTCTACTCAGGAGAACAAAGTTTCCTTCGCCTCCCCCAGCGAGCCACTTAGGGAGGCACAAAGTGTTATCTCTCCAGCGTTCTGAGCAGCTCAGTCTTTTCCTAACAACCCTAATCCCCAAGGCAAGGTGTGCCGAGGAAATACAGTCGCATCTCCCTGCCTGTGGCTCCGCTGATCCACGCCCTTACCCATCCACACATAAAGGCACCGGCACAGGATTCTGATGTGTAATAAAGCACAGGAGATCTATTTAAACAAGCCCTGAGACTCTCCTTCCTTCCTTCTTCCTCCTGCAGGTGTCATATGCACGACCCAGCTCGGCCTCCATCCGTGATGCCAACCTGTACGTGAGCGGCCTGCCCAAGACCATGACCCAGAAGGAGCTGGAGCAGCTCTTCTCCCAGTACGGACGCATCATCACCTCCCGCATCCTCGTCGACCAGGTCACAGGTATCCATGGGGCAGCGCCTCCTCCGTCTTTACACACACACACACACACACACACACACACCGTAAACACCTGCAGCTCCACCACCTCTTTACTCCTCACCAGTTTTTCTATTTTGAAGCGTCTTGCTATCGCTACCCAGCCTGGTGGAGCGTCACTCTGAGCTTCACGTGACGATTAAAAACTCCTGAATCCTGATCAGTCGGACACACTTCAGACTAACGGGCGTCCTGTTGGTTGTGTGGAGGAACATCTCAGGTGTTGTTTCTTCCTGTTTAGCAGCAGCGACGACGTTTCGTGTTTTATCCTTGAAATGCTGCATTTTACGTCATGATGTGATCGTTGTTGTGACGTGAGCAGAAATGATTGACCTGCACACGGTCAACAAAACTGGTGGGAAACCTTTGGTCCTGCATTCACGTGGACCTGCAGAACCCGCCTACATATCGCTGCAGACCGTGCACGGCCCTCCATGTCATTTCTAGACAGCAGTGGCCTCCCCTAGTGAGACAATGCCCTACGACAAACTGCTCAGAGAACACGACAAAGAGCCCATAATGCTGCTCCAGCCTGGGATGCGCTAGAACAAGCCTTAATCCATCCACCTACACAGGTTCTGTGTCTGTGGTCCGATGGGTCAAAGCTGCTTAATGACTCTAACGAGACCTGCACGATGTTAGGCAGGTGGTTTTAATGTTGTGGCTCATCGGTGTAAACGTCTATTAGCCCGTCTGCAGTTGAGCCTTTCTGCATGTGTTGATGTGATTTGTTCGGAGTGGATTTGGTGCCGCTGCGTCTCCACAGAAAAGTAAAGTAGCAGGTGTGATCAGAGCAACCCAGACCTACATCTTTACGCTTCTGTGCTTAAAATACCGCCCTGGATGTGCTGATGTGGTGGAATACCAGCCTGTACGTGAGCATTCCTGCTGTTATCTGCACATAGAAGCAGCCCAGGCAGCATGAAAACACACGACAGGCATCATTTATACACGTCTTATGTGTGTGTCAGTGATATTACAATGATGTGCAATTAGGTGGAATAAAAATAACAGCTTCTGCAAAAAGTTCCCTCCTGACCTTCTTGGAATCAGCTGATTCTTAGTGTAGAATATCTTTAGTCTGAATAATGAAGCCATGATGAATATTCAGAGACCTTTGAAGACCTTCACGTCCATCCAGGTGTCACGAGCTAAAGACTGAACGTTGGTTTTGTTGAGCTTGATTGTTTCTCAACTTTGCACATGAGTATTATGGGATGTATCACAGCTGGAACAGTCAGACTGCAGCAGTTTAATGCCATTGGTGCCGACGTTGGATGTGTTTCTGTTTAATTATAATCCACTGGAGAGAACTTTACAAAGTGCATTCGGGGTAAACTTCCAAGGCTCATGTGTGATGCTGGTTGGGTCAGAACAAGTTCTAGACAATGAAAAAAGGTCATATTTTTAGATACCAGGACCATCTCGAAGACACGATTCACTTCCTGTAAAGATATTTGTTTTTATATGTAGAGTTGCAAAATGCTGGATGTACGGATGTAAAATAAAAAGAGCAGCATTTCAAGCCACTCCTTTGGACTTTAAGGGCCTCTAAATATTCAAAGTATGAAGGTAAAATTTCACATGGCTTCATTAAATATACCAAAGTTGTTGTACATAAAAAAATCAGCTGATTCTGAGGAAGGCACTGATTGGGTGAAGCTGTTTGCAGTGAGAACCGGTGAATCATTTTATATGTGACTTCTATACTATGACAAACAGCAGGAACATGGATTGACTTCGGTCCATTTTCCAACTTCTCCAAACACAGCGAGCGAGACCTCAACAGGCGAGTCTTGCGACCGCGACCTCAGCCGACGATCACGCCGGCGGCACAAGCTGCATCATATACATGCTCAATTACACATCCTGCTATATCCAAAACAGAGGAGTGAATCCCAGCAGCCCGTTGTGCTGCAGAAGAAGCCCTCCAGCGTGTCTCTTAGATCCATTTCAGGGCTTGTTGGTGTGCCTACAGGCTCCAACCTGCTCCAGCGTTATGTGCAGCGTGTACTGATGAAGCAGCAGCAGCGTGCTGGAAGTCACACTCATTTGCCTAAGCAGAATAAATCAGTGCTGGCAGCGAAGTGCACGCCCGTCTGTACACGGCGAGGAGACGAGGAGAGGAGGGAGGAAAACAAAGGAGGGAGGGAAAGAAAGGAAAGTGAGGGAGGGAGTAGACGAGTGGAGACGTGGGAAGGAGAGGAAATGAGAGGAGAGAGGAAGGTGGGAAAGAGTCCACTGTAAATAATATCCGTTAAAAAAAATAATGTAAATCTGGCAGCCAGGAAAAGAAAACGTGAAAAAAATAAAATAAAAATGGCGGAACCGTAACATTCAGAAACTGCAAAAATTATGGCAAATATCTATGGACTAATTATAATTAAGTAGTTACAGATGACTGTGTGTGAACTTGCAGATTTTGGACCTTATGCACAGTTTTGTCCTTTTTATTTCACTGTCAGCATTTATTTTATCCTTTTTTTCTGTGATTTGACTAAATGTGTTTTAACAGAAGAGAAAAAAATCTGTAAAATAACTTTGAAAATATTTTACGAATTTAAAAATTCTTTAATATTCGTAATTTCTATTTCTAATAACAGCAACTAACTGTAGAATTACAATATATTTTATTAATTTAAATATAATACAAATAGGAAAACAGAAAGAACAAAATGCTATTTATAGAAATCTGTTTTTTGATGTTATTTACAGTTTTAGCTTGTTTTTATGGGGGGGAGGGGTTACTTTTATCCTCAAGTTATCATCTGTGATAAAAATAAATGAATAAATAATTTTTTTTTTTTAATTTTTAATCTGGAAAAAATCTGTAAAATAACTGTTTACATTTTTTTATATATAATTTTTCAATCTTTAATATACATATACATTTTTTAAGTGTAATTTTTCAGTCCAACACTGTAAAAATGCAGATTTTTAATTAGACGTTATTTACAGTTTTGCCCTTTTTTCCCCCCACAGTCAACATGTGTATTAATAATTTTCTGTGATTTAACCAAACAGGGATAATCAGTAAAATAACAATTAAAAACATATTTTTCAATATTTAATATATATAATTTTGTTTTTAATAGAAAAAATTGGGAAAACAATTTTTTTTAACCAACTTAAATACAGTCAGAGTTGTGTAACGTCATGATCAGACATAAAAAAAGAACTCACGACTATTTTTATTAAAATACAGATTGTTTTATGTTGACTTTATTTATAGTTTTGGCCTCTTTATGGGGTCAACATGCAGGTTAATACTGTTTCTGGTGATTTTAATCTCTGTATTATAACAGAACGGGAACGTTTCCTGGTAGTTACTGGTTTTATTCACAGTGCAGCTTCTCCACACACTCCTGACTAATAAACCCGTCACTGAGCCGAGGCCCGGCGGACTTCCTGTAGAACTCGGCGACCCGACTCGGGACACATCTGTGCGTCCAGCCACAGTCACATCTGGTTTCTCGCTCGCAGGCTCAGGAACATAAATACAACAAACGTTAACGGGCTTCAGCGCCTTCATTAGAGGGTCACGAGAGGCTCGGCTGTGGGTCCATTCCTGACCGGCACCGGGTCGGTTGAAACGCTGCAACCGTTCATTCACACCATGAAGCTCGCAGATCAAAGAAAGATGCTGAGAACATAAACACATGATCGCTCCTTTCTCGTGGCACTCAGCGGTTTAAGGTCCATCAGATCCACTAAAACCCGATCAAGAGTTCTGAACATTGTCTGTTTAGCGGTTGTTGTTTTTTTTGTAAGTAAATCAAATTGTTGTGATGAAGGGCAGCTCGGCGGCGTTATTAAGAGAGACTAACGGTGATTAATCCACGCACACAGAACTCCACTTTGGTCGATCTGAACACAGACGCCTGTCTGCAGTGTCACAAATATTCAATTAGCCACTTAGAAATGAGCAGTTTTTATTTCAAGTCTGTTTTTTTTTTTTTTTGTTCCGAGGCAAATGTCAAAACAGTGCAGCAGCTCGAGACGTGTCCCACTCCTTCTCCTGCACGCCGGCTTTTATTTGATCAAAACTAAATCAACCATTAACACGACGGCGCTTTTTAAAACTTTTTTTATTTCCTTTATGTAAAAGAACGTCTGTTTTATAGAAGCCATGCTGTGGTTTCAGGAGGATGTGAGATGGAACCGGTTCACCTCCAGTTTCTGGGCAGTGTTTACTCACCGTGGGCTCAGTTTTCACTTTAATATAAAGTCCTGCACCTCTATGGAAACATCACGACCATGTAGAAAGAAAGGGAATTAAAAACTATGTCTGTATAGTACGACAGAGTTATTATTATTATACGCCGTTATTCATCAAAATAAAAAAAATTAAGTTGAATTTCTTGGATTATTTATGTTACAACAATAGAAACAAGCTGCGATGTGCATTTTTTTCACTCATATGTTACTGGTACTTGATTTAAAATAAAATAAAACTCTAGACTCTACATTTTATAAATATTTTACTACTTGAGTCCTACCTGCTCTGTGTAAACAGAAAGCCAAAAAGTCCCTCATTTTTTGCTCCGTGACTGTCGATGCTACCAGAGTTATTAAAAGTGGTCCTGTTGTGTTGAGAAATGCAGAATTTTTCTCTTTTTACAGAATCTGCTCAGAACAAACCGTAAATTTTTGGCAAATTTTTTAAACGAGACACGAGATTTGGTTCGTTTTCACAACAGAACTGTAAAGAACACATGACTAGTTCAAGGACTGTTGGAAATTCAACGATCTTTTCAGTTTTCACAGTTCATGCTGCTAGAACGTTAGCATCAGTTCAAACACAGATTTTTGATGCGATTATTATTTACCGTGACGGCCCTCTAGTTGTTGTTGTTGTTTACAGATAACATGTAAATTATTCCTCTTTGTGATTTTGCTCAACAGATTTTCTGCAATTTAACAAAACCAGAATATCCGTAAGATACTTTCACATAACGGAAAAT